TTACAGTACAACAAACATACATACTTTAGATCTCTTTGGTTGGGTAATTAAGCACAGATATGTTTGATGATACACTCTGGGGCGGCATCACCTAACAGTGCAGTAAAGACTTCTGATTATTCCCTCCTCTAATGCGTACATTCTGCTTAAGTTTCATATTTGTTGTAAGGCACAATAAACCCATATCGCAGAAATAACTGGTTAGTTCTGGACAAACAGTACATGCAGCAAAAGAACAAACATCCTCTGAACGTGAATCCCGAAAGTCAGAAGATTCACCCCCTCCTTGAGTTCAGAAATTTAAGAAGCTAGTTTTAAATTATATGAAACATACAAGTAAGGTATAAAATATCCTTCAAGATAATAACTGCTAGGAGATACAGGAAGACTTCAGGTCTCCTTGCTTTGTAAAATGTCATTACTTTAGTTTCCAGAGTTACAAAATTACTATCCTTTTTACGCTTTGAGATGCTTCTTGGCCACAAGCACTAGGCAATTCACGGCCCCAGGAGTCCTGCACACGTATTTCATAAGAAACTCAAGGGATGTACCCTCTTGGTTGTTCATCTGCCCTTGCTAAGAAAAACACACAGGCCCTGGAAATCGACATACGGGAAAAGCTCCCATGCACGCGGGGCCAAATTCTGTCCCGCTTAATTTAACTGAAAACAGTTATTGAGGTGATTCTGCAGGATTTGAAGTCAGAACCTGTCCATTATTGTCATTAACCTCAGATTGATAGTAAATAACAATAAAGATGGTTCCAGCCTTACTCCTGGGTAAAGTAGCTTTCTGAATGCGTCTTCCTGAATCCACAGGCAGGGTAAAGCAGTAAATGGAAAGAGGTATACGCTTCGACAGACTGTGACCGTTCGGTTGTAACTGAGTGCCAGCCTTGCGCACTGGTTCATGCTGCCACTGTATACTGGGCCGAATCCGTCCCTGACCCAACTCCAGTGAAATGAATGGACCATATTCTCAGCTGGCGTGAAAGAACATTAAAGTCAATAGAACTGTGCTAGTTCAGCTCAGCCGAGGACCTGGCCAATAGATGTCTGTGATTCATGTGGCTGAAATGTCCTTTTAGGTAAGACCACAGGAATAATGCTGCAAATAGTCCAGACAGAGCATTCAATTGAGTATATTCCTGGTTCTCTGCAAAACTCTGGGCAAAACAGAGGCAGCTTTAATTAAAAGTAGTAAAGTACAAAGGGGTTGGGTTTTTTCCTTTTTTAACATTATGCTTTGTAGGAATTTGCTTAAACTTGAAGCGTATTTCTCAAAGCTGAGTCTGGGACCAGAAAAGTAGTAGAATTTGGCAATGTTTCCTGTAAGATTTCCAGTGGACTTACAAGTTACAAACATATGTGAAGTTGAAAAGATCCTTTATTCTCATCCATAACAGAGAGGGAGGGAGAAGTAACATGTATGCCAGAAAGACATACCTTCCATTTAAACAACAGAAGGTGATAATAAGGACTGTCTGTGGGGCTTGGACACTCACTGCCATTCGTGTGTGTGTGAGATGAGCATCCATATCCCCTAAACACCGTGTAAAATCCTCAGTTTGGGAATCAGTGGAGCAATGCCTTATTTACAGCAGCCAAAGATCCAGCCCCAGACGCTTTTCGGGGCTTTGTGTACTGTCTATTTAGAGCAGTTAGCCTGCTTACTTGAGGGTCACATAATAAAAACTGACCCTTATTTTACAGTAGGAGTAAAACTACTATTTAAATATCTATTTAAAAAACACTGTACCGTGCAATGAGTCTTTATATTGTGCATATGTACCTGCAGAAAACATGAGGTTATAACTACGTTATCTGGAGGGAATGACACTTATTTTCAATGGGAGAAAGAAAGAGTAAAATATAATAATAAAATAAGTTACTTGATATCTGGAAGACTAGAATAGATTAATCTTACTTTGTCCCAAACCACTGCTTTTATGTACATCTGTTCCCACTGAGGAGTGGGAAGTCTCCTATTAGAAGTACCAGACACTCCAAGATATGCGCCACTGTAACAACATACACAGTTTTCACATCAACTGTGCTGCAAAGCCATGGAATTTGGAGCCTCAGTAACACACCAAATGCAAAGAATGAAAAATTAAAATAAAAAAAAAAGTAACAGGTACTGGTGTAACACCACAGTCTTTTCAGTTATGAGACCTGATCGCATCAACAACTGAGAGTGCTCTGAAATACTCTCTAGCTCGCCTCCAAATATTGTCTGAGCTTCACAGACAAAACATTAAGCCCCAAACAACTCCTTCAGAGCCACGCACACATTCTCCATTAATATGACAATGATACAGGGTCCTTCTTATTTTCCAAGCGGTTGAACAAATTCATGCAAAGCAGATACAACTACTGTTATCGTCGTCATCATCTTGGTTTTACGGGCGAGGAAGAGGTGGGAAGCAGATTGCTCATGCTGGAGCCCACCAAGCAGATAAACAAGCAGAGAAAAGAGAACTCTGGATGCAGAGATCCCCTGAATGTCAAGGGAAGTTGTGGCAGGGGAACATACAGCTCCACATTCTGCATGTGGTAATCACTTTGAAGTATTTGCCTGAAACACCCTTTTTGCCTGGGAGCTCATGGGGACAGCCAACTTCTTATAGGCTTCTGTTTGCAGAGCATCAGTGACCCAGTACAGCTGCAAAGTGCACGCCTTGCACACTTGCTCTTCCCTTTCCCTGCAGCCCTAGAGACTCTGGCTCTCAGCGTGGACTCCAGTGCTTACCGACAGAGCTCAGCTTCAAGGTTCCACAGACTACCTTGCAAAACACGCTGTATTCAATATAGTGCAAAACAATAGTGAGGATGCCCATGCCATGCTCACGGCACACAGAAGAAAACCTTCATTCCTCAAAGGCTTTCCACAGAACCAGTTAACCACCAAGACAGAAACAGGCTGGGATGTGCTACCTCTATTCTCTTTCCTTTCCGTATTTTTTGTCCTTTACAAGTGATCTTGTTTTGTCCTGAGCCTAATTTGGAGCCCACAGAAGCTGATGAAAACATTTCCCATTGCCTTCCAAAGGCTCTGGACCAGGCCCCTGATGAGGATGAATACATGCTTTAGTTACTGTATATATTCACATTAGAATAAAAAAAAAATAAAATTAACAAACCCACAAAGATTAACAGCATGTCATTTTTATACATCTGCATTCTTATTACTATTTTAAAGCTTAAGGATGTGCTTTTCCATGCTACAAAAACTCCTCTGGAGGAAAGGTAAGATCTCTTCCACCTACCCAGAGCCTGCCTGCTTCTGCTGTCCCCGGTGCAGCGCAAAGGGGCAAAGGCAGAGGAGTCCCATCCCCAACCAGGCAGAGACCACGGCTGCTCCCATGAGCCCTTCGGGCAGCTGCAGTTCCCACCATCAGCCCCCACGCTGCTTATTCTGGAAGGAAATATAAATACACGCTTAAGTGTACTCCTGGATGGGGGCCTGCTTACTTGAACAGCAGCTGAAGCCCTCCCACACAGGGCTACGTGGCCAATGGGTGCGTGTAAACATGGGGCTCCCTTCCCTGGCCTGCCCCGTCCAACCTTTCCTGCTCATCTGCCCAAAGCCGGAGCCAAGACCTTTCCCCTGGCATGACGGCTCTGCCCATGGTCCCTCTCTGGACTCCTCCTGCCCTGCTGACGTGGTGCGGGAGGACCTATCTTTGGCTCTCTGCACCGTTAGTAAATGTCACCCACGATGACCAAAAGACTTGAAACTCTTCTTACTCGTGCAAGTAGGGGCACGGAAGTCAGCGGGTCTACTTGCAGAAGTAAGGCATCAGGATTTGGCCCTGAGGACGGATATTTGCAAATCAGTGTTTTCATTCCTCCTGCCACTGTGCTTTAGTAACAAAGATAAGGCCACTAGGAAGAAAGGCACATGGAATTCTGTAAAAAATACACAAAAAGGTTCAACTAATTCGCAAATTACTAACAAAACAAACAAAAAAAACCCTGAACACAAAGACAGAGGGGGTAGAGACAGGGACCTCCTGGGTTTGTGAGACTGGGAGTTCACTTTCTAGTTTCAGTGTGATTAACATTTTACTTTTACAGTCTATTGCTTGAAAAACTACAAAAAAGTAAAACCTTGTCAGAAATACCTATGTTTACTTCCTGCTCAAACAATAAAAATAAATTAAACAGCCAGAAAACGTTTTCCTTTTCAATGCATTGTGTCTAAAGTGAAAGGGAACATAAACCATAAATAAAATCCATTGTACTAATTTAAAAAAAAAAAAGTCTCCTTTATAAGAACTGAAACAATATTTACATTCATACTGGAAAGAAAGCTTCTGAGTTGCATAATTAGAGTTTGAAATGATGCATTTTCTGGTGCACTGACAAAATGCTAGCTGTAGCATTTAGAAACCTGTAAGTGTTTGATGCAAGATTTTTGGTTTGAATGCAAGTCTGCTGGAAAAAAGCAAACACAGCAGTAACAATATTATTTATGATTTTGTTTCATTTCTTAACCTCAAACAACATAAAAGTAGCCGGTGAGGTATCGTCTATAGAGTTCCTTAAAAATTTCTCAATGCCCATGGACTAGAAGTAAACAGCAAAAATGACTGCATTGTTTCTACCTTTTTGGAGCGAGATTTTTGTTTTCTGTTTAACGTTAGGAGTGTATACTTACTGTTGAGAGTATGTTGTACTACGGAGAGTCTAGCTAAATTATCAGGGTAGTATCTCTTAGCCAAACCTGTACCCATTTGCTCGGTACTCGCCCTGGTGCTTTTCCTTTCTCCTTTAATCTGCTTAAAAGAGAATACTGCGTGCAAGCCAAGTGTGGCAACCTAATTCCATAGCCAGAGATTCCTCTGTACATCGATTCAGACCATCTAAATGTTCTTCTGTGTTCTTTAAATGAAAAAACCCAAAACAACCACCAAAAAAAAACAAACCCACTTGGTGCTTGTTAGGGCCTCAACAGGAGACTTATCTAATAAAACAGAAAGCAAGGAAAAAAAAAAGTTACAAGTCTTGCATATCTTCATCCATCTGAACTGTCTGCAGTTTGGCAAGTTCTTTTTTGTCCGTTTCCAGTTCTTCACAAACCGTCTCAACCATGTTACTCATAACATACTTGGATTTCGAATCCAGCATCATTAAATTGCCAGTTGACTTACTCTCAGAATTAGGTAAGAAATTCTCTTTGACTTCAGGTACGGCTTGCAGAACTAACCTGTGCTCTCTGACAAAATCTTGATGTACTTGCGCAGAGGGGTGGCTGACACGGTCTCCGCTTGTAGAAACTATTTCTCCAAGTGCGGGCTGTGCTGTAGAAATGGACAACAGATCTTGACTGGTAATGAGGGAACAGTTCTGAAGGGTTGCATAGTTAGTGTTGCTGATAGATATCACGGTAGAGGTACTGGTCACAGGTGATGACATGGACTGGCTCTCCGAGATACCAGAGTTCAGTTCTGCAGCGTTTAAAAGAGTTGGTTGTGTGAGGGAAAAATTATGTGAGGGCGTTACATTCACTAACGAGGAGGCCAGGGACTGGAGTCCTCCACTGGATATATTTTCAGAAGACATGTTTACATTTAGTTGCGTGTTCTGACTGACTGGCATCAACTGAGAAAACACCAGGCTTCTTTCCAGTCCTTCTTGCTTGACAGAGCCTACTGCCTGGCCTGAATTGGGAACCGTATAAACGACTGCACTCGGAGCGAGGGGGCCGAAGAAAACCTTTCCCTGCTGCACTGTTGAAGATTCAGTCGTAAAAGTTCCTCCATCAGATGTGCTGGGATTTACTGAAACATTACCTAGAGAAAGGGAAGCAAAAGAAAGGAAAACACGGATTATAGTTGGCAGAGTGTTGTGCATACATTTTGTTAAGACGTTTTGGTGGTTTTTATGTTTGCAGTACACACATACGCTAATATTTCATGCAACACAGAATAACATTGTTTGTAACAGGTGAGAGAAAATTTGGTATAAAGAAATAAAAGCTGTTAATAGAAACTGCTTCTAGGAAAAAAAAAAAAAAGTTCTGGTATATGAGGTATCTTTCAGACTCTCATTAACAGGCAAACAGTCCCCAGCCACGTGATTAAAATGAACGTGCTTTGGCCCTCACTAGTTGCCACCACTCAATTTCTACCTAAGAATAGAAGCATGAAAAGCTATTAAAGATAGTTCAGTGACAGACTATAGCTTGTGTGTGGGAACTAGAGACACATCACATGAAATCCACTATAGCTGGGCAGAGCCTACCTGAGTCAACCTGCAGAGAAAACATCAAAACCCAGTAACTTCTATCAGGTTAACTAGGTAGTCCGTCAAGCACTCGGATGTATTTACCTTTGACCTCGTTTTATCACGTATTTCCAAAAGCCTGACCCCACCACATCCACCACGCCGTGTAACGTCACCTAGTGACTGCCTACCCTTGCTGAAAGCCATGGCACTGCTCGCATGATGTTGCGGCAAGCCAAAGCAAGAAGGGGTGGCCAGAGATGACCTGAAGTTGGTTTTACTGGACATGCCAAGTTGTCATTATAATAATTCCTAAAATAAGATATACTGGCTCTCGGGACTGGGTCCCACTTCAAATGCCTCTCTTTCTCAAAAGGAGTTTAATTATAATTTTAAGAGGCTACAGTTGGAGACATCTGAAATTTTTAGAACAGCACTGAAGATGCATTTCTCACTTGGGGAATGTTTTAGCTCCCTATTCACTTCCATTAATCAATGATGATTTTTTGCAAGAAGTTACTCATATGTGTAAATTAGAAGAATAAAGCGAGGCAACTTGAAGTTACCTGGCAATAGGATATAATTTACTGTGGCTTACTTAAAATAGCCTGCAGCACACTGCACTTGGAATAGGCAGCCAGCTATCCATCCTTCTCTTGTTAAGAAAAACAAAAAGAAATCAAAGCTGCAAATATGGATCTTGACTTTTCTCTGCTCTAGAGTAGACACACGGTGGATCACTCTCCAGTGGGAATTGGTATTTTTAACAATGGGGAAAATGTTCAGAGGGAACTTATTACGAATCTCAGTATTTTAAAATACAACAGACCCGTACTACTTAGGGGACAGAACTTTCTCACCTTTGCTAGCTGTCAGTTTATGTCTTGGAGCATGTGGATTAAATGGCTTTTGCATTCAGACTAAATGTCTTCTCTTTTTCATCTTGTTTAAACTATGTACCAATAACTTCCAGTGACTGCAAGTGCCACATTTTAAGATCTTTTAATTTTGCATTCATTTAAAATGTGTTTATATGGCTTCAGTGCTCCTCCCCATATTACCTTAACAGCAAGAATAATTCACTACCTATACACGTGTAATTCAAATAAGCTAACAAGAGCACAGTTTGATTTTCATTATAACACTCATGGCTCCTGAAACTAGAGAGATTCATTCAAGTTTAATCATTTTCATAACCAAAGACACAGTGGCTAATGAGTAACAAAGCTGTTCAGTTCTGCTTTATAACTGACCTGCTTCAAAACAAGGATCCAAAACTAGGCTTGCATTCCCTGGGATTCTTCCTGGCTGGCTGCAAGTTTCAGTCTATGGTATGTTAAGACAAACTATAAAGCAAACTTGGGGAGGAGCCTGCACACTTGGCACGTGAACCTGCGATGACATATTTCCCTTGGACTGAGGGCAGTTTTATCCAAATACCCTCGCGTTTTATATCTACAAGCCATTGCATATTTCTATTGTTTCCCTGCAGTTTAATCTTTGTTAATTATAGGACAGAAAACGTATGAGCATAACTGCTCGGTCTTGTTGTGTCCGTAGTAATTTAAAATTCATTTTTATAAAATGCTGTTGTTAAAAAAAACAACAAAAAAGCAAAACAACCACCACAAGAACAACAACAGTAACGATTTTCAGCTGCTGCAATCTTAATTTTTATGAACCTTCACATTAAGAAGAATTCAATGGCAAATGGGGAATATTTTGAATTACTGAAACGTGTAAAATTTACAGATATTTGTGAAGACTGGTATCACACACTTCTGAGAACAGCATGAGATGAAAGGGGTGTAAAATACCAGATCTCCTTCTCTGCTCTTAGTAGAGGAGCACAGCCTCACGTAATAATAGTCTGCCCACGAGCATAAATTGTTATAAAGGAAGACAAAAGGTATTATTTGACGTACTGCGTGTGGCTGTGGCTGAGATACAATCCTGGTACCTTGGAGGAAAAGTACAACAGCTTCTAAAATGCTAAGTGTGACCGATTCCAACTTTTTCTCATACCTCTTACTGCAGAAGACAAAATTTTTACCTTGTGAAGCTGCCACAGAAACAGGAGGCAGCTGCAGAGAAGAAAAACCGATGCTTCCGTTCAGCAGCTGGCCATTTGTTCCTGAATTGGGGATCTGGACAATGCCATACTGGTTTATTTGGACAGGAGCAGTAAAAGTAACTACGGAGCCTCCATCTTGAGAGGCAGCAGTTTGTACGCTTTCCCTTTTCACTTCTGTGCTTGGTATCAATCCCGGGAATGAGACCGGGATGTTACTGGGGCTGAAGGTGGCTGCCGCAGCATTGGGGACTGAAGCCTGAAGGAGTTTGAAGTCCTTAACATCTTCTGATGAAGATGACAGTATGTCAGTAATGGACACCCCGTTGCTCACAACGCTTGACGTGGTTTTGGGTGAATTTAAGGTAACCGTCTGCGAAGCCCCCACGCTGAGTCCATTGAGAATGACACCGTTGGGTCCCTGAAGAAAAGAGCTACCATTGAGAAAGACAGGAGAGGTACTGGCAGGCACGAGGTTTCCATTCAACAAGACGCCAGATGAGCTCAAGGCTATTTTAGTGTTTCCGAGCTGCTGCATGTAGACAGGCTCCATGTGGCCGGGAAGGCTGAGGCTGGTAACGCCGTCAGATGAGCTGGAGAGCGGATGGGGAGATAAATCCTCCTGCCCCTTACTGGATTCATCTTCTGTGCTAGGGTTGCCATCTGACTCGCTATGGGAAAAGACGGAAAGATGACATTGCATTACCATGGCGTGCCAGCAAGCTCTACACCAAGGGGGACTCCTCGCTTTGAATCAGTTCGCACGAGTTTTCCCCAACTATTTTTTCTGTATTTTGCCTTTACAAGGCACTTCAAACAAATTTCAAGGGGGAGGTTTCTTAGAAAAGGACACATGAAATCACCTGCTCGCTGAGGAGAAAGTTTATGGACTGGGTTATGGACACGTAAATAAGTCTCCCCTCCCCGGCCATCCGACTCGGGCAACCGAAGGGGGCTGCCT